TTGCGACTCACCAATGGCAATCCGCTGGAATCTTCAGTCAGCATCCGCCGGAGACCTGAGACAGGCAAGGTTGAACGCTTACCTCTTCCGCTGCGAGAAGCCCAGGTTGATGCAATGCGGTGATATATCTAACACGATCCTGACACGTGGTCCCATGGTAAGCCTTTTTCTTGGCTGTCTGAACCATTGACCGGAGGCAATTATGCGGTAGCGAGATAGACGATAACAAAAAGCTCAAAGCTCGCTTAGGTGTTATATGTACAACTCACTTGAAATTGCATTGTGTAACGGGAACGAGAAGTCAAGGTTTGAACGTGTAAAAACGTAATTACAAGCACGTCCGAATCTTCGAGCCGCAGTAATCCGCAGCGGGACATCTAGAGTTCGATACGTTGTAAATCATCAGCAGTGCTGTAGCAATTTAGGCGGAGGACGGACATGCTCACGATGTACACACGCTCCGGCTTCCAGATTTCTATCAGTCTGTCCGGATAGGTTATCGGATGTGTATTGAATGAGCACCGATCAGAGCTATATGCGGCCACCAAACGGTCATGAGCTTTCCAGCAGGTAGGTCCCAAGGCACGGAAGATCCTGGAGATCACGAATGACCACAAAGCGGAGACGCTCTATTATCGGAGATTTGGCCGTGCATGAATCAAAGCGGCACTGCACGGAAAGCCTGCGGATAGAAGTGGGAGCTTGCCTTAAAGGAGTCGTGCATATGCATCCACTAAAATAACCAAAGAGCCGTAAGCCTGTGAGAAGGAAGACCGCGGTAAAGTGTGAGGGACGAATCGCCCTAGAGAACGTGGCACCGCGCGATTTAAAACCCTTCGAATGTCAAGTTGCACCAAGGCAAGATCTTCAACTCCAAGAGTCTCATTTCTACGCCCCAGGCAGGTTATTCTTGTCGTGCGACCGCGGCAGCTTGTGTTGTAGGTATTTCATATATCCATATTTGTATTTGTCTATTTCACGGAGGCCGGTTCCTGCAGGAAGGGAAAGGAAGTTGATTATTTAGAATTATAGGGTATTTCGGCCTCCGGGTCGAACTGGGTCGACGGACCAGAAGAAATGGGAGAGATCGCTTGTATCGACTAGGGCACGGTACCCGGATAGAAAGACCGATTAAATGAAAGGCTAGAACACCGCCACTAAATGCAGAGCGGGCCATAGCCACATTGGATACCACAATCTTGCTGAGTCGGGATTGGGGGTAGGCTTGTGACTCGAAGGCTAGTGGCTATGGTAATGTTTCAGAAGCGCGACAGAACGGGGATCGCAGCACCCGGTCGATGTCCTAGACCGTCCAGTCGACTTAAGCCTGTTCCATAATCAACGGTGATGCCTTGTGATAGGTTTAGTGCCACCAGTAGTCTAGAACCAAGCATCTCAGGCTGTTCTATAGGGGTGCCTCGACTGGGTTGATTTTTGTAAGCGGAAGTTCGGACGCGGTAGGGGTATGAATGATAGTTCGGAAGTGAAGTAGACGATTTCAAAACTGTGGCCCGCCCGAGTCAACGGCGGTTAACTGCATGAGAGTAGGTCGACTTGGTTGTAGTGGTTGCAGTCGAAGAGAGTCGAAGATGTTGAGGAATTGGTAGGCGCGCTTTGATGCCGAAGGCATCGCGCTATAGACGCTGGCGGTCAGAACGTCCCTTCCACAAGCACTTTACTGTAGTGCACTCAACGATACTTTAGGGCTCACTGACGCATGGCGACGACAAGCAAGCAATACAAAGCGATTGGGGAAGACCTTTGGAAGGGAAGAACGGAAAAAATTGTATGTACTGGCAGCCCGTTACATTCCGCCCAACGCTTCAATACCTGACAATCAGATATAGAATGCAGAGCTGTTCGCACTTACGTATGGCGCACTCGTTGTGCAACTAATACAAGACTACGAAGATTACGCAGAAGTGAACAAGCAACTTGAGAAGATGGGATATAATATCGGAACGCGACTAATTGAGGACTTCCTCGCACGGAGCAATATTGGACGATGTGCAGACTTCCGAGAAGTAGGCGAGGTCGTTGCGAAGGTGCGCCTGCTTATATGAATAGTTTCTCTTACATTGCTGGATGGCGTTACATGTAGGTCGGTTTCAAGTCGTTTCTCAATATCAGTCCTGTCGTTACGCACGGGGCACCACAGACGACTGCTCCTTCCCCAACCGCTACCGCTACACCACAATCTAATGCCAGTGGTTCATCTTTCACTCTCACCTTCGATGAGAATCCACTGGCAGAATTCGTTGAACTACCAGAGGATGCGCTGGAAGGCGGGCTTTGGTTCAGCAATGTACTATGCGGAGTCCTGCGAGGATCTCTGGAGATGGTCAACTTAATCTCTTTGTCCATTTTTGTGTCGACTGATCCTCGTTTGGGATACAGATTCAGATGCAAGTGCAGGCCACTTTCATTTCTGACGTGCTGAGAGGAGATGAAACCACGGAGATACGGGTAACACTTATAAAACACCTCGAGGAAGAGGTCCCAGTTGGAGATGATTAGAGTAATGCGTACCCCGTGTACGATATTATTTTCTATGGACTGTGGTGTGAGGAGAATCTACAATATAACCCAAGTGTCAAACAACAACTACAATCTATAGAAAATGCTACATACAACCTCAATGACCCGCACGTCATCAGTTCCAACGCTCAATCCTGTTGAGTCTTCTCGCAGTCCTCGCGTTGCTTTGAGTGTTCTGTCCTCTGACGGGCAAATGCATCGCGTGCCGTCTTCCGACGTAGCTACCAATCATACGCTGGTGAGCGATGTTCTCCCTGATTTCCCTCCTCAAATCGGTTTCAATCTTCACCATCCTTAGCGGGTCTTTATCCTTCTTATCTTGATGCTGACGTTTCGGTTGCGCGACCGGGAGAGGGGGCGCTTTCATTGCCGGAACGAGGAAGTTTGGTGAAGCCAGAGGGTTTCTCGGGGCGACCGCGAAGGTACTCGGTGACGAGAGGTAAGACGTGAGGGCATAGACCTGCACAGGAGTGAGGTCTCGGACTCTACACCTGTTATGAATCGACGTGCGAGCACAGAGCCGTTGGGCGATTTTAGGTCCGATACCGTAGAAGTAAGTTAAGGCAACCTAACAGTTATGGTCAACCGGCTAAGCTCTATTTCATACATTCTAACGACTCACTCTGACCGGCTTGTTCTCTGCGAGTAGGGTTCCCAGGATATGCATTGCGGCCCACGTCCGACTTGCAGTGGTTGCGGAAGCAGGAGGACCGTAAAGTCGCGAGTGCAACCAGAGAAGTTTCGAACTCCGCAGCGTTCACCACGACCACAATCTTTGCTTCGCACACACTCAACTCATTCTTCAGATACACACCTGTTTCGCCGGTATGTCGACCAGCCAGGCAGAGGGTCGCCGAGAGGACGCGCTTGCGAAGCAACGAAACCAAATGCGAGAGGAGTTCGAACGGCAGAAGCAGACACTCATCAACGAGACCGAAAAATCTAGACCCTCGTCTAATCGTTTCGTAGGACAGCATGACTCTATGGAGGATACTTTGAAGAAGAGTACGGTTGGCTTGGTTAGGCTAGAAGAATTTCAGCAGAGAAGGAAAGAGCTGGAAGAGGCGAAAGCACGCGAGGCGGCGAGGACAAATGAGTTGAAGTATGTCATCATTCCCTTGTGCTCTATGGTTCTTCTGCTTGGGCTTTCTATGCGATACAGAAGCTTATAGGATGTGGAGAATCTGTTTAGGGATGAACAAAAGAAGGTGAAGAAACGCAAGAAGGTTGCGAAATCGACTCTCTCTTTTGCAATGGACGATGAAGCCGAAGAAGATAGCGTGGACACACCATCTTCTCGTGGGGATGATGGGGACGAAGACAAACCTTCAAAACGTGCAAAGTCTCGCAAGAATCCCAACGTCGACACGTCTTTCCTTCCTGATCGGGAACGGGAAGAAGCTGAAAGGCGACAGAGGGAAGAACTGAGGCAGGAGTGGCTGAGGAAACAAGAGGACATGAAGCAAGAGGAGATAGAGATTACCTACTCGTTTTGGGACGGTAGTGGTCATCGCAAGAGCGTCACGGTAAGTCTGAGTTGTCTCGCCGTCAGAGAACCTCGCATCTGATCACACAGATTCATGTATATCAACATTTGGCAACGATTTCATAGTGCAAGAAAGGCGATGAAATTTCTACCTTCCTCGAGAAATGTCGACAACAGTTCCCTGAGCTGCGTGGGGTCAGCGTTGACAATTTGATGTACGTCAAGGTATGCTATTCAAAGAAATCTTCATACCCAAGTATTCCAGCGACTTACTCCCCCTTGTAGGAGGACCTCATCATACCCCATGTATGCATATCCTTCCAACATCTACGATTTACGCTAACCTTACCTCGCTAGCATTATACGTTTTACGACTTCATTGTAAACAAAGCACGTGGAAAGTCCGGACCATTATTCAACTTCGACGTCCATGACGATGTGCGGCTCCTCGCTGATGCCACGGTCGAAAAGGATGAGTCCCATGCTGGAAAGGTCGTGGAGAGAAGCTATTATCAGCGTAACAAGCATATATTCCCCGCGTCGCGGTGGGAGGTACGTTCGCTTTCCCGCCCTTCCTGAACTGTTTTCTTACTCATTCTGCTTAGGTGTATGACCCAGAGCGGAGCTATGGACAATATACCATCGCGTAATTGTTTATCATCCTGTCTCCTGTATATTGACATAGTGGGCGCTGTCCAGCTCATGGTGCACAAGCTGTAGAATCCTATCTTGGCTGTAGATCTCGTAATATATATCGTGACTCGCGGATAAGCGCAGTCATACTTGTAAGCTGTTTCTTCCACGGTCGTCCTTTTCGCCGCTCCAACTGCATGCCTTGGTAGTAGCTACGCGCGAACTATGTTATTCAATTTCAGGTTGTGTAGAATACAGATGGCAGATGCTGGGGGGAACTTGGAACTTGGAAACCACAAATATTAAAAGCAAAAACATGTGAATGGCAAAAGAAATAACCAGCTACCGACGACGGGACTCGAACCCGCAACCTTCGCCTATATGTGTCCGCTCCACGGATATAGGAAAGCGACGCCCTACCATTGGGCTACGACGGCTTAAGGAATAATTCAAATTTACAATACATCACTTTGCTCCCATTTGGTGTCCCCCTCAAAGCGGCGGTGACGGATTAACGCCTTGTCTCGGTTGCTTTGTTCTGATAAGACATCGGCGGAGGTTGTTTTTATTGATTTCAATCCCGAGACCATCACTGATCAATGTGTTGGGTATCTCGGTTATGTTATAGACATTGCACATTCACACCACCAGCTGCAAGGCCTTTAGCCTTAACATGAGGTCCCCAGCTTTGGTGCCTATGGAGTTTGACCGAGAGTTCCGACCTCACAGTCAAATACGGGCCTTGCTAGCCTCGCGCAGGACGCGGTATATTCTAGGCGCCGTCGCTCTACTCTCTTTCGTAACTGCGTTTTTTGCGTTCTCTGGACCTGAGCCATTTCTTAGGTCAGGCTCGACATACGATGTTGAGACGGACGTACCACCACCGCCTACACCCCATGACTGGCCGCGCCCGGGATCTCCACCACCCAAACTTTCGTCTGAAACGAGCGGCGACCCGGTTTGGCGTGAACGTGCGGATCGTGTGAAGGATGCATTCGTGACTGCTTATACAGCCTACGAGAAAGCCGCGTTCCCTCATGACGAGCTGCTACCCGTCTCAAACGGTCATTCAGATCAGTACGTTAGAATACTGGACCTGAGCTGCGGATTGGACTGATGTTAGCTTACAGCTTCAATGGCTGGGGTGCTACTCTAGTTGACAGTCTGGACACGATGATCTTGATGGGCTTGGATGACTTATCCAACAAAACCGTGGGCTACATAGCTCAGTTTACATTTGATGATGTAGGTATCTTGCTCCAGTAATATTGGTCTCGAAATTCATGCTAGTCTTTGACCAGGATCAATACGTTCAATTCTTTGAAACTGTTATTCGTTACCTTGGAGGGTTTCTCTCCGCGTATGCCTTATCCGGCAATCCAATCTTCTTAACCCGTGCAGACGACCTGGGCCGCCGTTTGCTTCCTGCATTTAATACACAATCAAAGCTTCCCGCATTTGCTGTGAATGTTCAGAAGTCAGTTGTCCACTTTATTATCTTCTATACATCTATCTGAATGCTTGTACAGAGGAGTTCCACGTAACGGTTGGGCAGGCAATGTTGCTCTATTGTCCGAGGCGTCAAGTTGTCAGATGGAGTATAGATATCTCGCACATCTAACAGGGCGTCCCGAATATATCAAAGCGGTAAGCGAACGCTCTGTAATTCCGTCCAGTATTCTTGAATCTATCACCTGCGATAGGTGGATTATGTCACAGATCTCATGCACCAACACGAAGAAGAGGGTGGTCTGTACGCCTTGATGTTCAACCTCAATAACGGGGAGCCTGCAAATATGATGTATTCCGTAGGTGCTATGGCAGACAGCGCTTACGAGTATCTTTTGAAGCAGTGGCTCATGACGGGACGCACAGAACCCAAGTTCCTTCATATGTGTACGCAACCTTCACACTAGCTCTTATTGTCGCTCGCACTAAAACCAAACTTCGCAACAGACATGAGATCGGCAAATGCTATCATCGAGAAATTATTGTACTTATCACCCTCCCGACAACTTCTTTACGTCACCGACGTTCACAGAGGATCTCTCCTCCCAGTGGGAGACTTCCAACACCTGTCATGCTTTATTGGGGGACTCTTCGCTCTTGGCGCTGCAACGATTCCCAATGTCGACCCTCGGCATGCATGGGCGGCAGAGGGCCTTGCACACACGTGCTGGGTCACATATGCGGACATGCCGACAGGTTTAGGACCTGAAAAAGTGATGTTTGCAAACCATGGAACGAAATGGGTAGATGCTTTAGACGCCTGGGAGAAATCTGGTAGGCCTGGTGCTGTACCTCCTGGTGTTAACCAGACAAATCCGGTGAAGCCTGGTGAAGACAAGGAATACCGCATCACGGATAGTCGATACCTTTTGCGTCCCGAAGTAAGTTTCATCTTCGTGCTGGGAGCATAGTACTGACTGGTGTGTTTTAGACGATTGAGAGCTTTTATATTCTTTGGAGAACGACCGGAGAATCAAAGTGGCGTGACCGCGGCTGGGCTATCTTCGATGCCATCGAAAAGCATATGAAAACCAAGTACGCTTACGGGTCAATCGCTAACGTCAACCAAATACCACCTGCCCTGTCTGATGACATGCCGACGTGAGTGCCTTCGAACACGTAGACTATCCCTCCATTGACTGACATATTCTGCCCCTCTCTTCTAGCTTCTTTTTGGCTGAGACGTATGTCATTCATTGTCTCTCTTGATTCCGAACTGACTAGATATCTATCTTAGGCTGAAATACGCATACCTTCTGTTTACTGACGAGGACATCGTCCCCTTAGACAAGTGGACGTTCAACACCGAAGCCCATCCGTTTCCGACATTCGAGTGGTCCGACTGGGAGAAAAATTACTTCGAGATCAGTTGAACTGAATGTTCACTATACCCTGAATGCTGGGATGGCCTCATACTCTGAATTATCAGACGATACCAACTAGGTGAAACGTCTAGATGGAGCACTTATAATAATCATACCATGTAACTCACTGAAACCGCGTGGTTTTCTCGCCGAGTTCGGCAGTCGTCTCCTTGTGCCGATTTGAGTTTAAGTGTCTCATACATTCATAGATACTTCCCTTTCAATGTAACTGATACGCAGGAGTTGAACTAGATAGAGTAGTGCCAATAACGGCCATTCTTGACTCTGGCTTGCTGATCTTGAACGACAGTACTTACTAGTCTTCCGTCCTCCCACAATGCTCATCCCCGAACAGCGTGCCTTTAGGCCATTAGCTAATATATCTGTTTCATTCTATTACTAGTGAATACAAAAAAGTGAATTATCCGGGGAAAATGTTGCCAAGTGACGAGGATGGTCATTGCAGCGCCCGTTGATCGCATCTTGGTTCAACTCTACTTTGGTAGTATGTACAACTTTGCATCCAGTGGTAAGTTTCACGGTTTTACGCCCGGTGAAAATCGCCGGGAATTACACATACAGTGAATGTTAGCATGCCGCTCTACCTTACGAGGGCGAGGCTCGTCTCCAACGTGCTAAAAGCTCTGGCAGTCTCACTGTGCCTGTTATACTCTTCCTCAGTCTGCCACGTCGCGCCCTCTCTATCATGGCGAATTCTCATAAAGACCTGTGTGAATACACGTCAGGGAACTGGGTGTAAGTCTCATACATATTATTCTAAACTACCGTACATCTCTGACCCGTCATATAACTTGTTCAGCTATAACAATGCCCTTCGCCACAAAGAGCGGAGGCTCGCCTTCGATGTCGACGGGCTATGACGACTTGCAGCGGAGTCCGTTAATCAAAGTCCTGCTAATGTCGTCAGCTTGTCGAAGCTCGCCGAGGGAGGGTTTAACCGTACCTTCCTCATCACCCTACGCGACGACTTCCAGCTGGTCGCCCGTATTCCGTACCCAATCACCGTCCCTAAATTCTACGCCGTCGCTAGCGAAGTAGCCACTCTAGAGTTCCTGCGTTCCTCTGGGCTACCTGTTCCCAAGATATACGGATACTCGCTCAATTCAGACAACGCAGCTGGAACCCTCGGAGTATATCTTCATGCAATTCGTTCGAGGCTTTAAGCTCAGTGACGTCTGGCCTAGCCTTGTCGAACAGGAAGTCATCTCCGTCGTCCGCCAGCTCACTCAACTTGAGTCGGTCATGATGTCGCTGTCTTTCCCCGCTGGCGGGAGCCTATACTTTACCAAAGACTTGGAGAAGTTTGCCACGGGACTGGACATACCGCTGGAGGACGAGCGTTTCTGCATCGGACCAGATACAAGATTGCCTCTCTGGTACGGGAGAAGGTCAAAGCTCGACGTGAATCGGGGGACCCTGTACGCCGTTTTCTGCCTTTTCATTATTAAACCACTAACTATAGACCTAAGTGCCGAAGCAGCTCTCGTAGCAGGGGCTCGCAAGGAACTTGCTTACTTGAAATAGTTCAATCAACCGCTTTTGCCGTTCCGGCGCGAGAGGAGGACTGGTTATCAGTACCAGGAACAGTCGCCGTCGGCCCACGTCGAGAACTTGAACCGTTATCTCCTCATCGCGTCGTCATTCGTCCCTAGGGACCCTACTCTCAGTCGTTTCTGCATCCGCCATCCAGACCTCCAGCAGAGCAATATCCTCGTGTCGAGGTCACCCGACTCTGACTGCCAAGTCGTCGGCCTACTCGATTGGCAACACGCCTCCATCCTGCCCGCATTTCTTCTTGCCGGCGTGCCCCAGCGCCTCCAGAACTACGATGATCCCGTCTCGCAATCTATGACGCCGCCGTCGCTACTAGAGGATTTCGACGAGTTGGATGGAACCGGGCGAACCAGAGCGGAGGAGGTCTACCGTGATCGCCTCGTCCATCACCTCTATGTCACGGGCACGGAGGAGTGCAACAAGCTCCACTACGCTGCCTTTACCGACCCCATGTACGCGCTCCGCGACCGTCTGTTCCAATACGCTGGTAGCACATGGGAGGGCGAGACTTTCGAGCTGAAGCTTGCGCTAATACAAGCAACGGAGAGGTGGAAGGCGCTTACGGGAGGAGGCGTGCCGTGTCCAGTCGAGTTCGACGCTGAGGATGTACGCGAGACGAGGAAGCTGAATGAAGTACAGGCAAGGGCAGACAGGTTTTTTGAGATGTGGCAGAACATGGTCGGCCTCGGGGAGGAGGGCTGGGTGCCGACTGAGGACTACGAAGATGCCGTGGCGTTCTTCAAGAAGAGCAAGGAGGAGGGGTTGGCGGATTGCAAATCGGCAGAGGAACGGGCGGAGATCATGGGTCACTGGCCTTGGGATGACATGGACGAAGAGAAGTATATGTAACAAGTTGAGCCTCTAGATATTCCGCGATGTTGTATGTTGTCTGCCTATTGTATCTATGGCCAGTCGGCCCAGTTCTTCGAATTATATCTGCGGGAAGCGTCTTGAAAAGTGCATTCGTGGCTACTTATACAGCCTACGAG